CGGCGGCTGTATGTCACCATCCTGTTAAATACTGCCTAGACCACGCAGCACCTCAATGTGTCCATATGCACCGACACCAATGCTAATGGTCTGCACATTCCTTGGGGTTCTCATAAGCCTTCGGTAATCTTTCGGTATCCAAAGCATGCTCTTGCGAAGCGCCGCAAGCAACTTGTTCACGGAAGAAATGCTGGGTCGTGTGCTTCGCACCCATCGTCTTAATTCTTCCCATGAAATTAGTGGTGGCAATGCGAGCCGCGTCCCTGCAGCTAAGTGATTGCTCCGCTTCCAATTGTCATGGTGAAACCGATACACCACTAGCAGTAGTTGGCACGGCCATTGTACTCCGCTGCGCTACCGCATTCTGCAGGCTTCGTTGTACCTGCATGTCATTTGTGCACAAACGTCCTGTTGCTTCTTATATGAGGTAACGAGCAATAACAAGGTGGCCTAGCTTCAGCCTGCTGACTTACCCGGTTCTGACTGTACGCTCACCTGTTTCCTGACATCTCTAGTACTTCTGTGATCTAATGATTTAGATTCTGCCGACGAAAGTCTGTTACCCTCACCGCAAGACCACCGCTGGTCATGATTGAACCTTATTCTCATGTCCCCTTTTTCCTTAACATGTCCATTTCTGTTGATGCTCTCTGTCAGCACTTAGACTTTACTAATACGACTTTCACCCTATGAGCTGACATTCTGGGCTCGGCCCAACGACCTCGTACCTTCCGACCTCCATGACCCTAATGATCACACTCTAGTCTGCCTTATCTAGTTCTGGCTGTACGCCCTCCTGCCTTCCGACCTCTCGCGAACTTCTGAGATCTAAATGATCTAGTCTCTGCAGACGCAATGCTCTGTCGCCCCCGCCTCCAGATCACTGCTGCTCATGATCTATCAATAGTATATCCGCTTTTATCCTTAACACTTCTATCCTGTTAACGCTCTGTTAACTTTCTGACATTTATAATACGGCTTTCTCTCCATGAGCCGATATCCTCCTCTCAACTCCATGGTCTCCTGCTTTCCGAATACTGAGCCCATACTTTTGAACCATCGACAGGTCCAAAGGTCTGTTCGAAACACCTCGTGATCTATGTAGGCTCTTTCACTTCCCCTTAAGTGTCTCCTTCCAGATGACATTCTTTCATTTTCGCGCTCTGTCTGCCTTCCTTTATCCATTGAACGGATAACTCTTCGGGCCTGGCTCTACTCTAGCCTCGTCTGACCAGTCTCCTGCTTTGACTGTTTCCAGAAATCTGAGTCGCACGGGTTCTAGGCTGTGCAGTCACAACACATCCTGTTCCTCAGCCTGAGAACTTCGTTTGACATGCTAACGGGCTATTTATATAGCCTCTCTAGTCCCGCAACTTTTCTATTCTCATGACATTGCTGTTATCTTCACTTTAATTTGACGTTCTAGCTTCATCTTGCTGACTTATCCAGTCTCAGCTAAACGCCCTTTTGCTTTCTGACCCCTCTTGGACGTTTAAGATTGAAATAATCTATGCGCTGCCGACGTACCGCTCTGTGACTCTCTTCTCATGAACATTACTGGTCGTGATTTATCTTATTTATTCTATTCCCCTTACAAGCTTAACAGGTCCATTCCTGCCAACTGTTAACATTCTGGTAATAATAATATCGCTTTCGCTCTATGAGTCGACATGTTAGGCTCGTCTTAATGGTCTCCTCTCTGACTGCTGAGGCCTTCAATGAGTCCTCAACGGATCCATTGGTCTGTTCACACACCCTGAGACTACTGCACGCTTTTCCACTTCTCCACAATATTTACTTTTCTTTTCAGACTTCATTCTTTCCTTTTCGCGCCTTCTTTACATTCCTTTTCAATTGGACGGAGAACTTTCCGTGTTTGGCTCTAATCTATCCTCGTCTGTCCAGTCTCCTGTCTGAATGCCTCTAGACATCCGAGACATAAACGATTTAGGCTCTGTAGTCCCAAAACTCATTGCCCGTCATCCTTTGTGCTTTGCTCGCCATACTATCTACCCATTACGGCGCAACGCTCCGCCACCCTTACGCTAATTACATCACTGAGCATTATTCATCCTTCTTTTTGCAGCTTTTTTATTTCTTTTCAATGGAACCTCTTTTACCGACTCTCTGCTTACCTTCCTGTGCTTTCTGTTGCATTCCGTTTTCATTCAACGCTAACTTACATGTGTTTGTCCTCCCTGTCTTCTTGCATTCCTACCAATTTAAGATTAGGGAAATACGCCTCTGTCGCTTCTTCTGAGTGATATTCCTTCCCATTATCTGCACACCTCGTTCTCCTCTCTCTGGTTCCCACCGATTGAGCACGCGCCTATTTTAGGACCCCAAACACTCCTGCTTCATCTTCAATCTTTCTTTACTGATTCGTGTTCTGCTCGATTTTCGTCGTAGTTCGCCACTTATGATATAGGCGTATACGCGATATTTAAATAACAATTACATGTATAGGGGGTACAATACTTCATGCATTGCCGCAATCGATTGACTGCCTTCCAGATGCATTCCCTTCTTCTATCTGTGTGGCTGTCTCTGTTCGTTTCCTTTTTTATCCCGTGTCTGTCACAGGTACGGCGACACGCACGCAAGGAATTGTCGACCGTTGCGACAGCAATACAAGGCACACAGTTCCTTTACCTGGACATGAGCGGAAAATTATCAACTCTTTTACAACTTACCAACCGGACAAATCCTTCGATATCTTGCACTGATACAATTCTTCCGCGGCTTGAACCACTGAGTTCAATTTACCTAACACTACCACTTCCACATATCTCTTGGCTGGAGGACTTTCGACTTCGGAAGGCACATTCTCCTGCCGATAAAAAGCTTGAGCAATCGGTCATTCTAAGCTCTTCAATCCGCTTTGACCGCTCAAATGGCCGTGGTTTCCCATATTTCTAATCAATTTCACTACATACCCAGGGGATCTGCGATTCTTTCTTCGGAACCTTATCCTATCCTTCAATACTTCAACATATTTCAACATCTATCCTTCGGTGACTTCACGCGCTTCTGCACATGATCAACACATCATATCCAGAAATAATGTTTAACTCCTGACCTACCGATCTGGCACAGGACAGGACACAGGCGCGCATCAGTCAGCAAAAAAATTGGACGCAACATGACTGCGAATAACGGAGCAAACAAACGTTCAACGAGGAACATAGCCAGTTACAACTTGCCATTCACCGGATTGGCGGTAGCGTTTCAGGAGGTGGTGGGTTTTCGCCTGGCAAGCGTTCTCCCTAAAAAAAGCCACAAATATCCGTTTAACAACACTGCAACGTAGCGAACGTGACTCGCCACCGAATAAAGTCACAGCCCATAACTTCACGCTGGCAGATCAATTAGCGTCATCCTTTTGGCGTGCTCTCCAATTATCTTCCATTGAATCATTCAGGATTCTCACTTTATTAGTTTTCGAGGTATGACTGCAATATATGGCAGAGCGATCATGTCCAACCAAATGAGTCCAGATTCACCACAACCAAATTGTTGTTCCGCATGTTCACCAATGCACAGTTCCAAGCATGGACATATGAACAATTTTGTACTGTCACTACAGTTGCCAGAAAATGTCTGTACAGCTGTACATAACTGATCATGCCTCAATTGGCATGGCTCGCATAGCCGAGAATAAAATACTTATTTATTTATTATTATTCACATATTGTACGCGTTGAGATCTCATTTTCGTGCGCTCCACAGGGCAAACCGTTTGGTCAATTTGTCCAAGACGCTTTTTCGCGCGCGAATAGCGATCCCTCAAAGTGCGGTCACAGCATGAAGGCCCATTGTCAGTTTGTACCCCGAGGTCTCATTAATAATGCTGAGCATAAAACGTTACTTGTAGCATGCCCACTTACATTTAAAAGGACCCGGATGAGTGAAAACACGGCAACGTCCAGCAACGTCACCACCGATATCACTAAGCGAATGCGCCCTGCAAAAGAGAACAGAATCTCACAACGTAGCCACCTATGTAGAGCAGGTGTAACTGCGCACGTGAAGATAACAATGCGCCAACTCTGCGTTAGGGCGGTAGCATCTATAGGTGCCCTATAGGGCAAAGCAACAGCAAAGCTTGGGAAATACTACCAAGATAAACAAATTATGATTACAATATTATAACAAAAATACTTACGGTGCTTCTTATATCTAACACACGTTGAAACGGCTTCTTACCAACTCAAACTTGTTTATCAACTGTCAAAAATGCACAAGGAAAGAAGAAGCGCACTACAGGGAAGCAGAATTGATAACCAAACAGAGCAGTGCTAGCGGTATCTGAAAATTTAAAAGCGCGGCAAAATTCAAAAGGGGGTAGGTGATCCTTTCTAAGAAATCACGTACGACTCTTGGACAGAATAAAGCGGCAAGCAATGTTATCATTATTTATCAGTTAACGTAACCTACACACATATGCGCACCCCTTACGGAATAGATCAAGTAGCCAGCATTAAATTGCTGAAGGAATTTGAAGCACATTTGATGGACTTTGACGACCGAAAGAAGGGATTCATGTGCCAGCAGGATGGGTAAACGACCAGCTCCCACTGGTTTTTGTTACTATTCTACTCCTGCTTTACCTTATCACTCTTTGCTTAGGGTGCTAGAACAGCTCTGGTCAGGAAAACCGCAAAAGAAATAGCCGGTGTGACAGTAGAGTACTAGTTAACATTGCCACCTGCATAAACACCGCCGGCGCTTGCATCGGGACCTAAAATTGGAGAGAACTAACTTGAAGTTCGTCGAAGAGCTGCACAGTAGTGTGCACTAACACCTGAGGCACAAGTTCCAGTAACCTCGATCAACAGAAGTCGAGTTAGTAATGCCCCACCAACGTACAGCAAAATGGATTTCAAGCCTCAAAGAACCTTGGTAAATTTTACTAAATTTTCCCATACTCCTTTCTTGCTTATTGGCGACAGGCTCTTCTAGCTCGCTTATGTTAGAGACATAGCCTCATGAATATAGAAAATCGGCTCTAAGGGATAAAACTTGCGATGTTTAGCTAAGAAATGTGTGTGTCTTACAGGCCAAAATGCGTCAACTGATCCGAAAGGACTCCTGTGTTACTCAGGTAGACCTGACTCATGCGGCTTTGATATAAGCTTCAGAAACACTTAGTGGCTTTAAAAATAATAAACTCTATATTCCTGGTTGTTTATGTGGCTCAGTATCCACCGAAAACGGTATGCTGAAACTTTTTAGCCGTAGGTTAATTATAACTTCTCCTGAATTCCCACGTAGATATAATATTCCTTACTAGATTTCTAGCGTTTTTGCGCAAGATTAGCGCTTATTTGCGTATATTTGCCATGTATGCCTGCAAAGTTTACTTTTCGGCCACCTACGCGGTCCCTATTTCTCGCACGGTATTAAGGGCTAATTATAGCATTGCAGGATAGATATGCCTATTTAGAACATATACCGCTTCGCTACATTTTATGTTTTCTTTTCTTTTTTCTGCCATCTGCTTGCAAACAGAAAGCCAATTTTAGCGAAAAATAAAAATGGCCTTATTCGTAGACCATCATTTAATTGCGAATAACTCGCAAATTACTGCACGTATTGCATTGTTTTTACTTTCAACGTATTCGACTGTTAAAAGTTGTCCAGAGCGATACATTTTTGTGCCACTTTACGCAGTATTCTAGGCATAGTACTGGTTTTTCTTTTATTCTGAGATTTACTCAGGTTAAAATTTTGCGTCAGAAAGCAATAGCAGCGCAGGAAAAGTTTCGCCTTATATTCCGTTAATTTGTATTTTTCTAGTGAAGCACGTCGGCTTAGTATGTCTCTTAACAAATCACTTTTATTTTCATCTACATTCCTCAAAATTATTTTTATCTTTCCGTATCCCTTATGATTCTACTCTCATTTCTTCCATGTGCGCACCAACAATTGTGACGACTGAGCGGGCCAAGATATGTCCAATGAATTTTAAGTGAACTTGTAGTGAATTAGCTCCTGTTGCAAAGAAAATGCTCAACTTCCCTTCCGCGCAGCTTTTGCAACAAAAGAACGAGGATCTAGATATCGCCCGAAGGAACCAGAAAAATTTCAAGGTGGGCGCATGCGAACCAGCAGCTGTATACCAAACAATGCCAATGTATTGGCAAATGCCAACGAGGAACATATACTTGTATTTTGCCTACTTCCATGCAAGAGCATCGGATTAATGTAACGATTGATCTGAAACCTTAAGGGTGCAGCCTCTAGCCGGTCTAGTAATATACCTATTTATTTATTTATTAAGTTTTTGGTATCACCGCCAATACGGTGGAGGAGCTAGACGTTTCGGGCCCTCGGCATTAGCCACGACCCAGCTGCTTAAGAGAAAGCGAATAGCCCACATACTAGCACGACCAACCAGTCATACAATAGCCAAGCAAATCTCCTGTTTTACGTTAACGATCGTTGTTCTTCCATCAACTTCCTCATGGACAGGGGGGCGGAAGTCAGCGTCATCCCAGCGGCCGTTAACAACAAGCACTCATAGCCTACGTACAACTTGCGTGCGGCCAACGGTTCTCCGATAGCTTCATTCAGTCGGCGCCTGATGAACCTGGACATCAATCTTCGCCGAGATGTTCAGTGGGTCTTCATGGTTGCTTCTGTACCCTCCGAAATTACCGGTATCGAGTTACTCCGACTTTTTGGGTTCATTGTTGATGCTGATCGAAACAGGCTTTTAGACGACCGTACGCAACTAGAGGTTGAAGGCCTTTTTATGGACGTCCCGATAATAAGTGCCGTTTTCCGGGTCGCCGACGTACCATCAGATTAGGCGAACCACGACTGGTACGACCAGCTGCAGAGCTTCCGCTAGTCACGAGCGTGGTCGCTCATCACATAGTCACGCGTGGTCAGCCAGTTAGCGCACGACCACGACGGCTTGCTCCTGACAAACTACTTGCAGCACGAGCTGAATTCGACCACATGCTTCAGCTCGGTATCGTCAGACCCTACAACAGCCCATGGGCGTCGCTCCTGCACATGGTCCCGAAGAAGGCCATGGGCGGCTGGAGTCCTTGCGGCGACCATCGAATCTTAAATATGGTTACCACGCCTGATCGCTACCCGATCCCACACACAATGGATCTCATTGCCAGTCTCGCGGGTATAAATGGCTTCAGCAAAATCGACTTGGTACGCACAATAACCAAATTCCGGTAGCCGAAGCGGACATAGCTAAAACTGCCGTGACGACTCCGTTTGGTTTGTTTGAGTTTCTGAGCATGACATTTGGTCCAAAGACTGCCGCGCAAACTTTTGAGCGGTTCATCGTCCATGTTTGTCGCGGCTTAGCCCTCGCTTACGCTTATTTCGACCACTTTTTAACAGCGTGCTCTGCAAAAGAAGAGCACACGCGCTACGTACGAACAACTTTGATCGTTTATCGCAACACGGGGTGACCATCAACGCAGAAAAGTGTTCGTTCGGTGTCAACTCAGTAAACTTCCTCGGCCATCGTATTCCCTGCAGGCGTCGTGCTACTGCATGATAAACTTCAACTCATAAGCGACTGCCCTGGGCATAGTTCTCTCAAACAGCTTAGGGGTTTTGATGGGCCTGTCAACTTTTACCGACGGTGTACAACAAAAGGCGCGTCGCTGCTGCAAACCCTCACAGACATTCTCCGAGGGAAACTCAAAAGATTCGAATTTCTCACCGTAATAAGCGCAGCTCTTAAGCCGCTAAAGGAGGCTATCGTCAACATAGCTTCCATAGCCCAGCACGATCCGGCCGCCTCACTGCCCTCAATGCTGACGCCTCCGACTTCGCAGTAGGCGCTGTTTTGCAATACCGAGTAGCTGACACGTGGCCGTCCTTAGCGTTTTTCTCCAAAAGCCTATAACCTACCGAATCTCGCTACAGCACGTTCGGTAGAGAACTGCTTGCCTTATATCTAGCGATACGTCACTTTCGATGAGCCGTAGAATGACGCTCTTTTGTCGTCTTCACCAACAACGAACCCCTAACTTATGTGCTAGGCTCCACTGCCCACCGATACTCTGCTAGAGAGTCGCCCCACCTTGACTATATCGCTCAGTTTACCACCGATATACGGCACGCCTCAGATGTGTACAACGCAGACACCGATGCGTTTTCCCGAATCCAAGCTATTTCCGCTGATGCTAGCACTGCTATAGACTTGGCAGCCAGGGCCACAGCACAACTCAAGGACACTGAGGTTGACCTACTACGCAGGTCTCCCTCATTGGACATACGAACCATCCCGCTGACATCATCAGCCGGCACTAGACTTCGCCATTTATCTCAGGACACGCCGCGTCCAATCGTCCCACGCCAGTGTCCCACGAGTCCCACACGACCGTGTTCGATACGTTGCACGGCTTGTCTCCTCCAGGCGTTCGTGCATCGGTTAAACTCGTGAGCATACGACTTCTTTGGCGCAATGTTAATCGGGACGTCCGCCCTTGGGCAGCTGTTTGCCTTTCGTGTCAACGCGCAAGGGTGCACAAGCATATGTGCAGCCCATTAGGCACGTTTCCGACGACAGACGCACGTTTTCATCACGTGCACGTCGACTTCGTAGGTCTCTACCGCCTTCCAAAGCCTCCGTATATCTACTGATCTGTATCAGTCGACATACTAGATGGCCTGAGGCCATCCCTATCCGCAATTGCTCTTCGGAAATGGTAGCGAAGGCATTTTTGGAGCGCTGTGTAGCACAATACGGCTGTCCCACCATCGGGACTACTGATCGAGGGTCACGTTTCTTATCGATATTTGCCACGTTGCTTAAGGATTTAGGCTGTCGCCACGTTTAGACGACGGCGTCTCATCCGGTCGCTAAAGGCATGGTGGAGCGTTTACACTGCCAGTTGAAGGCAGCGCTACGGGCGCAAGCAGATGCCTCATGGTCTGTAACACCTCCCCTCGTCTTTCTAGGCTTAAGAAACACGGTTAAAACCGATTTTGCGCCACACCGGCACAGTTAGTGTACGGTTGCACACTGCGGTTGCTCGGACAGCTGAGAACACCAGCCCTATCTACTTCCACGTCCGCCTACGAAAGTTACCCTGATGGCTTGGCTCAGCAGTTGCGTGAGCTACGTTTACCCGCTCCTCGATCGCAGAAGACACCAGTGTACGTGCCCCAAAATATCTATGTGTTCGCCCGTCCTTCTTTGCACAGACGGTGCTCGACAGCCTCCTCAGTCGCCGTACATATGACCCTTTAAAATGCTACACTTTGTGAGTGATACGTACACTAATGACAGCGGTGGTCGACGCGAAGTCGCCTCATCAACCGTGTAATACTCGCCATTATGGAAGAAAGCACCTCACCTACTTCGTCTAGTATTGCTTCGCGAGACAGTACAACACACCGCAGCAGCTCACAGAATCCTAGTGCAGTTAAACCAGACTACGATCTCGGTCTACAAGCTTCAGCCGTCCCGACATCTCCCGAATCTAGCCCGTCGCCTCCCACGACCAATCGCCGTGGTCGGGAGGTGCGTATGCCGTTTCGTTTTGCAGGCTATGTACAGTGTAAATAAGTTAATCTTTGTAGCTATTGTATATAGTTGTCCGGTTTTTGGTCGATTAACGTTTTAAAAACAAACAAACATATCAAAGCCTCCGAAATAATTTTAAAAAGTTCAAAATTCAAAAAATTTAAACAAGCATCTAATTTGTTCGTTCTTTTTGGGGCTAACTGAGCGTGTTTTTCTATTCTCTAGTCTCTACTTGCCCCAGCCCTTCTCTTCGATCGACTGGTCCACCT